CAGGATGGGCACTGGCTGCACCCTGGCCAGCTGGAAATTCAGGGTAGAACAGGGCAAAACTGCCTGCCAGCCTAGCTCAGCCATCTGGGAGCAGATCAGGCCCATCTTAGGGTATGCTGTAGCCCTGGGTCAGGTGCACATCCCTGACCTTTTTGCAGGATTTTACCTGCCAGCAATGGTGCCTTGCCAGGCCAAAAACTGCTGGCTGGGGTGCAAAAAAAGGGGGGTCAAAATTCCCCCAAAAATCATACCTGGCCCCTGACCCTAGGAGGTGGCCTGGAAGGCACCCTGACGTTCTCAGCAGGCTCAGGAGCACTGCCTTACCCTCTTTGATCCTGGTATGGATGACAAGATGCCCAGGATTTGGCAAGCAGACACATGGAGGCTGAAAGGCCAAGATTGGTGGCCATGTCATGCGGCTGCAAGGGAGAGAGGCACACTTGCCTCTCATGTTGCTGCACACCAGGGAACGCTTGCAGCAATGACAGATTGCCATCAATGCCAACAGGAGCTCTCTTGAGCACCGTGGCACGTTGTCATTCCTTGAAGCCATTGGAAAGGCTCAAGCTGGTTGTTAGGCCAAGTTCCGAAGTGGGCGAAGCGCGGGAAAAAGACTGTTGCGCCAGCTAGACCGCCGACTGGCAGGTCTAGCTGACAGGGCCATATAGACCCTCCCAGGCAACTCAGAACCGCACTGCTGGGGCTGCCGTAACACTGGTCATGCCAGGCTGGGTCCAGCGCAGAGAGAGTGCTCCTGCATGTGGTGGTTCCGTTGCCTGTGCCATCACAGGGCAAGGTTCCATCGCTTGGATTCCTCCTTTGAGGCCAGCTTGATGGGCATTCAGCGGCAGGTTCTTTAGCGACACAGTGTGATGACTGTTGATGTCATCTACCCCAGCTGCCGCTGCTGCTGCTACCATGCACAGCAAGGCCAACAGCCCTGCATCTCTTGCCCCACAGCTCTGCCTCCAGTCTGCAACATCCCCAAGGGAGCAAGGCTCTTGGCAGCCACCTTGCCCTCCCAACAAACATGCAGGGCTGCTCTACCATTGTCCCTTGATGCTTGGTGCATGCACGCCAAAGCGGTCATGCCCTGACTGCGGATCAAGCAATGGTGTGCAGAAGCAGCAGGTGTGGCATCCGTGTCCAGCAACCCGGCTGCTGATGATCCAGCCGGCATGATGGTGTCAGCAGGGTGAGTGCAGCCTGTGTTGCTGGGCCCTTGAAACCTACACCCTGTTTGGTGTGTTGAACTGTTGCAGCCCGGTGCACGACAGCCGGCGCAGGAACTCCCCGGCCGCCCAGACGACACTTGTTATATGCAATCCGAACAACTGTCGACATCGTCCGGCTCTTTGGTCTAGAGGCATGATTTCTCTTTCGGGCTTTGTCCCCTTCGCAGCTGCGGAGGTCCAATAGAGGAGGTCGGGGGTTCGATTCCCCCAAGAGCCCTCCTTTTTTGGCCTTTTTTTCCCCACTGTCGGGCCGTGCCGGCCTCCGATTGGGCCGGAGACGGTGGTCCGAGCCTCGAGGCGCCGTCCGCGTTACGGGGTGCTGGC